CCTACCACAGCATGGCTTGCCAAGCAGTGCCATGACGGCACCTTGGATCCGAACCGGCGAACCCCGGGCCACCGAGAAGCGGAACGTACGAACTTAATCTCTGTGCCACCGGGCCGGCCCCTGCCTTAAATTCTTAGATATATTATTAACAAATAAATATCGAAGTGGTTATATATCAATTATATTTCAATTAAGAAAGTAAATACTGAGATGGAATCAGAGGGAAGAAACAGCATTAAAATACAATAACCATTTCCTTTAAATAACATCTAAGAAATAATAGTAGTCACCACTTATTAAGTTCTTCCTACGTGCCAGATACCTCACAACTCTATGTGGTAGTTAATATTATGTCTATTTTTATAATTTAGGAAAACAAAGCTCAGAGGGATTAAGTAATGACCAGAGTCACACAGCTAGACACTGCCACAGCCAGGATTTTATCAGTGTCTGACTTTGAAGTCTTATGTTTTTCCTAATTGAGCTATGCTGTTAAAGAGGGGGAAAAATTATTCTTCCACATATCATAGGATACTTATCTTTTCCTTTCATGACTTTCCCCTCAGTGTCCTTTGTTTCTTGCGACACAGGATCTCATTTATCTGTTGCACTTCTTTTCCTTTTGCTTTCAATTTAGGAACACACTGACTTCAGAACATCTTTTTGTAACAGGTGGAAAACATGCCAAAATCCCAAGTGGAGCAAGATCACCAAATCTAAAAGTAATGAAACACTGCACAGACCATCTCTGAAAGGATACACAAGAAACTGGTAACAGTACCTATCTTTGTTAGAGGTAAACCTTACTCTGTGTGTGCATGTGCACATGCCTGTGCATGTGTGTGGATATAATCTTGCATGGCTTGACTTTTTTTAAAACACTATGTTCATGTATTACCTATTTTAAAGAGATGATTATTCAGAATAATACCTATTAACAAAGGCTTCTTGTTACTTTGTACCTTGTGTGTGTCACTTGATGCCCACAGCCCTGGGCTCCGGTTGCACTCTAGCTTTTGCCCTCCTAAGAAAAGCTAGATGATGCGACTACCTCTCAGTAGGTGAAAAACACTACCACCTTATCTTTGTAAACATGGCCAGAGGATGCTGTAGCCCATCATTCCACTTTCCATAAACCCTCAATGTGAGCTTTATACAGTAGTACTGACTCAGCATCCATAGAGAATTCAGTTTTGTGACTGCCTCATCTATCTGGAGTAAATCACTTCCTTGTAATAATCGTGTTAACACTGTATTTTGAAAACTCCCTCAGGAATATAGTTCACATTTCTAGTCTTGTTCATTGAAAAATACTTGGCATGGGAAAAAAGTGGGCTATTAATATAATCTTTTAATTTTTATTTAAATTACTATTTGATAGTAATTTCCTTTAAATAACTAATCAGCTACTCTCTTTCCCAAAGACCTATTTTAATAAGTGAAGCTGAAGTATTTACAGATTTATTGGTCTGTCATGTGTTGAAGACAAATAGGTATATTTTATTACTTCACAGAAGGGTTTTCCAAACGCAGTCTATGGGAAAGACAGAAAAATTGGTTAGTGTGGATTTGTTAATAGTGAATATAAGCCAACTGACAAAGCTAACCTAAGAAACACATCACTGCAGCAAAAACAAATCTTTTGAGCTTGTGGCTCCAGGGGATCAGTTTTTCTCGTCAGATAAAAGAATGAAGCAGTGACAGTGGTGATAAAATGCATCTCTTTGTCTTTCCTTGGAAGTAACTGGTGGCTCCAATTCCTGAAGTTCCCTTGTGTCTACTCAACGTAATAAACTTCCTCCTTTAATCTTGGATGATGAATAGCACCTTAATCACAGGTTACACAAATGGGCACCATTTCTTTATGGCACTTGACTTCAATTCCTTTTCCTTTTGCCACCCTAGGCTTATTGACATCCATGGTTCATGATTTTTTGTTTCTTTCAAATGCAAAGAAGGCTGTGGGGTGGGATCCTTTGAGATTAACTCAACTTCATTGCATATCAGAAGAAAAGTATGTTCACCTCTGAGAATTGAGGGGCGAAGACAATAAAATGAGTGCCTTCATCTATTTATTAGTAATCAGAACAGTCATCTCCTTCCAGCTCCTCTCCCAGCTCACAATAATGTGCTCTTTAGAGCTAAGAGGACTTCTTTTGAACATTCTTTCCTAGCGATGGGAGGTGATTTTCTCCTTCCTTCTCCTCATTCTCCCCTAAATGTAGTGTTTCTTTTCACCAACTTAGACCAGCTCTACCTCAGAAACCCGTCAGAGAAGTAGGCTGACACTTTGTCAGTGCTACTCTGTATATAGTTTTGTAGTAAGTGCTAAGTGGCCATACCAGAAGAAAAACGGGCTTTCTGACTAATTTATGATAGAAAAGGTGGAGGAGAGCTCTCTTATTTAAAGCTAATCTCTGTATCTGAGTTTTGAAGCCTACCCTCTTTCACCCTTCTAGGAACCCACACATCAACTGTGTCTATTTTCTCCTGGTTGCTCAACTAAATCCTTATCAACTGAATCCTTTCTCAACATTATTTCAGTATGCTCTAATCTCACCCAATTTATTCCAAACGAAGCAAAACAAAACCCACTTTTGACCTATACTTCCTTACCCCCTTTTTCAGCTACAAAATCAAACCGATTTTGCACTTCTATCTCCATTTCCTCACCTCTGCTTTATTCTAGCCTCTGCTATCACTACGCCAAATAATTGTGGCTAAGGTTACCGAAGCCTTCCCACAGCACTGAATCAAAGACATTTTTTCCTGTTCTCATCTCACTTGATGAGTAAGTACTGATCTTAGTAAGGACTTGACACTGTGGAATACTCCCTACTTCCTTCCAGGAACACAGCTGGCTTTCCTTAATTTGTTCTTAACTCTCTTGCTGCTCCTTTTTTCTCTCCTTGCAAGTTCATTTTCCTCTTCAGGACATTCAATGTTGTAGTACCTCAAGACTTGTTTCTAGGTTGCCTTCCCTTCTCACTCTCAACTTGGTCCTAGCCATCTCATCCAAACCAGCACCTCCACTTATCCTAACACCTCCCAAGTGAATTTTTTTAGGACAGACTTCTCTGGCTTAACACAAAATGGGGTTGATTTGCTTCCAATGTATCTATATTGAATTCTAAACTTTCCAAGGGATGAAGAGTCATCCCCATCCACCCCTCCCAACTCCAAATAACAATAACAGAAAACACTATCCCTCTGTCTACGCCTCAAATCCTGTTGATTCTACCTCCTAAAGAATCTCTCAAATCTTCCTCCTCTTTATCTCCATTGTCACCATCCTAGTCAAGAAGTCTCTCAATGTAAATTTTTTGTCTAAGAGTCTTTTTATTTCCATAGTAAAAGTTTAGCACTAAAGATGGCTATAGTTATTTTATTTTAATAAAATAATATTTATTAACACAACTTTTAAAACCTGGTGTTCCATAAGTCACTCGTTTCAGTTTACAAAACTTGCTATTCTCTCTTGATATAACCTAGACATATATAAATCTAAACATCACTTTGATATTTAGTCTGTAAGCCTATTATCATATCCCTGAATGCACAGGGCATCCATAGCATAGTGCCTGAAACACAAAAAGCTCTTAATAAATGTTTGTTAGATGAATGAATAATTGTCCAAAGTTAAGTTAGTTTCTTTTCTCCCTTATTGCCTCCCAAGTTCCTCGAAGTAAAAAAGTTTTCCATTTTAATACTTAAGTAGTATTCCTTATTATAATCTGCAAGGTTTCAGTCTATGTATTTAAGTTTCTAATCCATTCAGATTTACACATTATCAAGGACGGCTTCAACTATTAAGAAAATGAAGGCATGAGTAAATATGGGCAGAATCCCCAACATGTCCACAAATTGTGATTTATAGTGATAATCTGTTAGGAAGGGCTAATCCACTTTCCTTCTTGAAAGGGAGATTTAGAGGAAAAAAAAAAAGCTCTAGGATTACTAAATCTCGCAGATGAGTAAATCCCCTTCTCTATGATACTCCAGGTCCAAAACGCCAAGCCAACCAGATTTTTTTCCTGGTCTTTGCTTTTTTGGTGGGGAGGGATTTTCTGTGAAAAACTGAACTTTCCTTTCCCTAAACGTAGGCCAGAGTAAACAAATCAAACTTTAAAAGCAAAAGTCTCGACTAATTCAAAACAACCTAATCTGAATGTCACAGTACTTTTTAATTCTTGTAAGCCCTTATCAGTTTAAGAGGAATACTAAAGGGTGATTGCCATGATCTTTGGGGTTTACATTAAAATATTCCAGCAAAGAAAAAAATATTTGGGGGGGGTGGTGATGGGGATAGGAGAATCAAGATAGAAAAATGTCGATAATTTCTGAAATTCTAGACTTCATTACACTTTTGAGATTTGCCACAATAAAAAGTTTCAAAATTTTAGCTTTTTCTATCTTTTACTCTCAGATAAAAGATAGAAAAAGATTTTTCTCCCTTTTGCCTCTAAATCTGAGACCGGTCCTGGCCACAAGAAGAGGAAAACCGCACAACCAGTCCTTTTGCAAATCTCTGCCTGTACACTTGTTAATACACTAACTCATTAGGGGAGGAGTTATCTTTGTCATATACATTATCAGCGTATACTGTCTACACATTTCATTTTAAAAGACAGAAACTGCACATATCTTAAGCTTGGGGGTACTCAACCCCCTGCGATATTATCCCAAGCTCTTGTTATAACCACAGTATCACAGTGCCTTCCACAAACAGCCCCTCTGGCCTCCCGCCACGTGTTTCCGGGGGACAGTGCGGGGTGTCAGCAGACTGGCGTTCCAGGTCTGCCCTCCACAGAGCGCGAAGGCCCGCGCCTCGGCCTCTTAGGCCTCAGTTTCCACGGGTGAAGGAACCCCGGGCACGGCGCCCAGGGGAGCGCGCCCCGGGCCCCGCCCCAAGGGCGGAGAGCGGGCGGAGCGGCGCGCTCGCCTCCGCCCGCCCCGCCTCGCGGCTGGCCGCGGTGTCGGCGGCGCATGTGCCCGCACCCCCTCCCGGCCCTGGATTCCACTTCCTCTCCGCTCGCGCTGCAGCAGCAGCCGCCTCCAGGCCCTGCGCCGCCTCCGGAGTCCATGGCCGGGACGCGCTGGGTGCTCGGGGCGCTGCTCCGGGGCTGCGGCTGCAACTGCAGCAGCTGCCGGCGCACCGGCGCCGCCTGCCTGCCCTTCTACTCGGCCCCCGGCTCCTTCCCCTCGGGCGTCTCGGGCCGCCGCCGCCTGCTGCTGCTGCTCGGGGCCGCCGCGGCCGCCGCCTCTCAGACGCGTGGCCTCCAGACCGGGCCTGCGCCCGCCGGGAGGCTGGCGGGGCTTCCCCCCGCCGCCACCTCCGCCGCCGCTGCGGCAGCCGCCTCTTACCCGGCCCTGCGCGCCCCTCTGCTGCCGCAGTCGCTGGCGGCGGCCGCGGGTCCGGCGCGGAGCTACAGCCAGGTACGTGGGAGCCGCGGGGGGCCGCGCGCGGGACCCTGCCCCGGCCGCGCGCACGCGTCCCCGCTCCCCTCCGCGTGCGCCTCGCGTGCGCGCCTGGGGAGCCGCGGCACGCGCCGCACCCCCGCCCCCCGGCCGCCCAGTCCTCCTATTGGGCCGCGGAACAAGGGACGCTCCGCCAGCCCTCGGGGTTTCTCCTTGTTTTGTTCTCCTCTCGAGTCTCTGGTCGGTGGGGCAGTGTAAGTGTGGCTGGGGGTGAATGTTGAGGCCTTGTTTCCCGCCGGCCCATGGTAGGTTTTGTGAGGCTGTTGACGCCATCACACGCATCCCTGTCGCTCCCCGCCCGCTGCTTGTGAAGTTGGGAGGCCCGACCCCGCGGATGGTTGGGAGTTTCCGTGCAGCCGGAGCTCTAGGCCTGGGCGGCCCTCGGCGCGCCCCGCGGGCCTCTGATGGGAAGGTTCACGCACAGTTGCGTGGGCTGGGTTCGTGGGGACCGAGGCTCGTCCTCAGCTCTGTGCTCTCTCTTGTGTCCCTGGGGACAGGCGGGCTGCCCTAGTTTACTGAAGGTCACCTTTGCACCTCCGCTTCCTCTGACAGAAGGTCCTTTAGGACCATAGGTCGCCGTCGTCGGGGAAGACGTTTGGAGACTGTGCTGTTGGGGGAAAGGGGCCCTGGGGAGGGGGCGTCTAGGGCTGAGGCCAAGATTGGGGGACCCGGGGGAGAGTCTACAGTTTCTTTAAATTTTTATTTTTTTAAAGTCAGCGTATGCTTTAAGAACTCAGATTGCAAATATTTTGTGCCTTGTAGAAAGCTTTCTTTTCTCCTTGTTACGTGGCATCTGGGAAATGTCAGCACACTCTTTGCCCAACTCTTGATGCCTTGGGTCATATTTATCTTAATTCAATTTGTGTTTCTCCTTGAATTTAAGGAAACCCGGAGGCTAATCAGCATAGCTGCCGTCTGCCAGTGGCTGAGCTAATTGATTTGAATCCTGGCCCAAGACTTCTGCTGCCCTTTTCTGTAAAAGCTTATGGTGCTTATGGAATTCTGGGAAAATGGGGACTGTTGCCTTTATTAAAAACACAAACTGTGTGTAATAAGCCTTTGCGAGCTGGCTACTCTCTTCTTGATTGTTTTTTTCCTGTTAAATTGACTGATGATATCTGTTGAGCCTCTGCTAGTGTTACACACTATGCTTCCATTTATCATCGAATTCCTAAAATTATACGAGTCTTCATGAAAATGATGGGAACGTACAAAGGAGTGAAGTCTCTCTCTCCTTAGCCCAATGGAGTGCAAGTCACTTGATTTAAAGCCTGAGTTGTCTTCCCATGTTGATAATTGTAGTCCTTGTTGCGTTATTAAGTATGTATTAGACCTCTGCTAGAGATTTACATTTATCATTAACTCCTTAAAATTAGACGTAGGTCTTCATGTGAATAGTGGGATGGTCCAAAAAAATCTCTTTCCTTAGTCTAGCCGAGCGCAAGTCTTAAAACCTGAGTTGTCTTCTCTGATTATGGTTGCAGCGCTTGTTGGAATCTTATTAAATACCAGTTTTTGCTTAGTCTTGTAAAATACAGTTCTTTAGGTATGTTTCAGGCACCTCTTACCTCACATAACTGCTGTTGCCTTTTATGATCTTTTCCTTATTCAGTTGGTCTGACATACCAGTTGACAGATGAATCTTTCCTAGCAGCCTGCTGTCTTGTTGATTTACCCACTCCTAACTGTCTTTCATTAACTCCCCTTTGCCCACCAGATTAAGGACACACACTCAGCTTAACTCTCAAGTCTCTCTGCTATGTGGTACCAAGTTCCTTTTGCCGGCTCATCTTCTTTGGCTGCTCATTGTACCCTACCGTTTAGCCAAATGGGATTATTGCTGTTTTGCAAATGGGCTTTTGTTCATATTGCTTCTTCCCCTTGCCTCTCAAACTGGAATGCCCTGTCCGTTATACATCCATGTCAGAATTCTAGCCTTACTTCAAGGCCCATCTCATAGCATGTTTTAATTCTTCTTCTGTTAGTGCTCTGTTTTGAATTCCTATAATATCTTATAATAACAGCACTTAAAGCATTTTGTGTTGTATGTTTGTCCTAGTCTAAATGGTTAAGCTTTTTTCAAAAAATTTTTTCTTGGTGAGGAAGATTGGCCCTGAGCTAACATTAGTGCCAGTCTTCCTCTATTTTGTACGTGGGATGCCGCCACAGCATGGCTTGATGAGTGGTGTAGGTCCAGCACCTGAGATCTGAACCCTCGAACTTACTCGGCTGCTGAAGCAGATGGCGCCGAACTTAACTACTGTGCCACTGGGCCAGCCCCCTAGGGGTTAAGCTTTTTGAGATGAGGGCCTCACATGGCCCACTGTGATTAGGAGACACTCACATATTTGTCAAATTGAAGGGACCTCTCTTACCCTGCCTTAACTAAAACAATATTATTAGGTGTAATTTGGGACTGATGAATTTAAAAACAAGCCCTGAATAAAATTTATGTCCTGCCAAACCCTTAGGATATACCTGCTCGTTGCTTTAGGATGTACAATTTAAGCCAAAAGAGGATGAGTTAGATTTGTGAAGTTTACTTCTTGCCTCTGAAATAGTAACTGTCCCCTAAGAATAACATCCAGAGCGTTAGTTTGTAGAAATAAACATTTTCTAAGTAGGTTGTCAGAGAGATATTTTTACATTTCTTCATTTCTCTTGGAAGGAGTCCAAAACGACCTACCTGGAAGACCTTCCACCTCTCCCTGAGTATGAAGTGGCGCCATCCAAGTTAGGACAGGATGTGGATGATGTTTATCTCATTCGAGCTCAAGGATTACCATGGTCGTGTACTATAGAAGATGTGCTTAACTTTTTCTCAGGTATATTTTATGTCTGTTTTAAATATGTAATTTTGTCTCAGTAAAAGGTAGTTGCACAAAATCCAAGTTAGGCTATGCTGTAGACATCTTTCTTATTTGATGGTTGGGAATTGTCTCATTCTGGCTGGTTACATATGCATACCAAGTGCACCATGTGTGCCATTTGTGAGAAGTACCTGGTTTAAAGACTTTGAATGCAACAAAAAATTTCATGTTAAAACTACGTGGTATGAAACCAGTTTCTCTGAAGTTTTAATTTGTACGTATCAAAAAGCCAAACTTGTTAGTAGAAATATGTTATTGAGAATATAGGTTAAGAGTAGCTCTTTATGAATACATACATTTAGAATACAAGATCACTTGATATCAAGTGATAATAGTTCCCTTAACATGTTTGGCATGTGTGGTTGATTTTTTAAGTTTCTGTCTGACTGATTTTTAATTCTCCTCTCAAGAGACTTTTAGAAGATGCTACCTTAAATGTTGTAAAATGATGTAACAATATATTAAGTACCTTAGTGTGCATAATAGTATATGCGTCAAGCATTTTATAAAGCCACTGACATCTTCAGCTTGCTCCCATTATAAGTATGCAGTATAAGGATGTCTTTCCTTAGTAATGAAAAGGGGGAAAAGTTAAATTATGGTAGCGAAATTATTCTTATAGGAGATATTTAAGAGTTCTCATGGCTTTGATTGTAACAGAAGAAGACACTTATGCATAAACCGAACCATATTTAAATTCCTTAAGTGATTTGAAAATGATTGTAGAGGCGTTGGGAGGGATAGAATACATTTTGTATTGAACCTGGCCTGATTTGCCATTTAATGATCAGATCCTAAGCTTATGTGCTAAGGTTTGCTTATCCTTCTCATGCGGAACATTTTAGAGACTACCACCTCATTAGCATTTGCATGGCTTCAGTGATGACGGTTTGTGTAAGGAATGTGACAGGTATTTTGGTTCCTGGTTTGTTTTGTTGTTTGAAGATTGCATTCCAGTGACTTGTATAATTGAGGTAAAAGTTTGATTTCTGGTTTTAATTGGTTTTGCTCACGTACTTCTAGACTGCAGAATCCGCAATGGTGAGAATGGAATACACTTCCTCTTAAATAGAGATGGAAAGCGAAGGGGTGACGCCTTAATTGAAATGGAATCAGAGCAGGATGTGCAAAAAGCCTTAGAAAAGCACCGCATGTACATGGGGCAGCGGTATGTGGAAGGTATGTGAAGGCACGTTCTGCCTTTTCTGGATCAGTACATTAGACTTTATGCTTTCCAAGGCAGTTTCATTTGATCCTTAACAATAGTGAAGTAGTTAGATATTATGACTACACCCTTTTATAAGATGTAAAATGAAGTACAGAGATAATTTCATTTTCTTATCTATAAAATGAGGATGTTGATCAAGTTTACCTCACAAGTTGTGATGTTTAAATGAATTACACCCAGCAAATAGTAAATGTTCAATAAATGTCATTTGTTATTTTCTCCAGAGAAGTATATAAAGATGAAATGTACTAGTTTTTAACTTCTTGGATAATCTACCAAATGTGATTCTTTTTAAATGGTCTCTTTCTTTGTTATGTAAGTTTTGCATATCTTTTGTGCTTTTTCTTTGTAGTATATGAGATAAACAATGAAGATGTAGATGCCTTAATGAAGAGCCTGCAGGTCAAATCTTCACCTGTGGTAAATGATGGCGTGGTCCGTTTGAGAGGACTTCCTTATAGTTGCAATGAGAAAGACATTGTGGACTTCTTTGCAGGTGCTTTTCAGTTATGTCATGTTTGGGGCCTCATATTTTTTTCCCCGTTGTTATCGTCTGTGTGTCAGGTGACCCTTTTCCTGGGTAACTGCAGGTAGTTATATTGGTTCTTTATGGGAGAACTCTTCACTCGGATTTCCAGTCTTATAGATTATGTAAGTGTTTTGACCTATTACTCGGATCTTTGGGGGATGTCAGATTTCAAAATGATTTCCTGTGGGTTTATTTACTATTGAGGAAAATAGCCTCTTCATAAGAGTGGCCTTATTTGTCTTAGACAGTAGCAATTAGATGATTTAAAAGCATTATCGTCTAATTCTTAGCTGTAAAATATGCACCATCAGTAGTGATGTTAGTCTAAATCTTTATTTCCCCTACTATATAATTAATGGCAAAAAAAAAAAAAGAATTGTGTGTTTCAGATGGACTGGTTGGATTCTAAATATTCTGGAAATATGGATGTGTAGGTGTTATTAGGTGTTTTGGCTGCATAATAGTTTTCTTCCCATCAGGCATGTATCTAGCTTTGAGACTGGCAAATCAGCACCCAAATTTTACTAATGAAATAAAAAAAAAATGATAGTATGTGAATGAATGTTTTAATTCTAAGGATAAAAAAGCACCTGTTAGCAGGACTAATTTGTAGTAATTTTTTGGTGTCCTAGGACTGAATATAGTAGACATTACTTTTGTCATGGACTACAGAGGGAGAAGAAAAACAGGAGAAGCCTATGTGCAGTTTGAAGAACCAGAAATGGCCAGCCAAGCCCTGTTGAAACACAGGGAAGAGATTGGTAACCGGTGAGTGAAGCTGATGCTGATCATGCAGAAGTATCAGACATTGGGTCATTTTGATGAATGCGCTGTAATATGACTATGTAAAATTATCTAAACACAGAAAAGTAGAATAGTTTGAGCTGTCAAATGCCCATCATTTAGATTAATAAATTATTAATATTTGTTGTATTTGCTGCATGTTTTTTCAGTATGCATCTCTAAAAATATTTTCTTACATGATCCCAGTATTATCATATCTAACAAAGTTAGCAATAATTTATTATCTAATGCCAGTCCAAAATCATGTTTTCCCAGTTATACCAAAAATGTCTTTTCACAGTTGTGGTTTTTTTTTTTGCACCAGAGTCTAGACATGGTCCACATGTTGCATTTGATTGCCATGTCTCTAGTTCTCTTAAACTAGAGCAAATCCTCTCCTTTGTTTTTTCATTCCCTCCTTTTTACATGCAATTGACTTTTGAAGGAAGTGGGTCAGCTGTCCTGTACAGTGTCTCACTTTCTGTGTTTATCTTATTGCTTCCTCATAGTGTCATTTAACTTGTTGCTTTGTATCCTCTATTGTTTCCTGAAAACTGGAAGTCAGAGTTAAAGTCTTAAATTGGTTCAGGTTAACATTTTATATGACTACTCTATAGGTGATGCTGTACACTGCATATCACATCCCATGAGGATGCACATAGTGATGGGTGGGTTCATGTGTGTTCTAACTTTTAAGCTTTGGAGGAGTACTTAAGTGTCAATTTTAAATCACTGTTTTGCTGCTTTCTGGCCTTTTTACTTGACTCCTTTAAAGTTTAAAAAAACAAAAAGTCATTCCAAAGCCATTGTATTTCAAGATCAACTTATAGAATTGGTTCAAAGGTCTTTATTAAGTTTTTTTTTTCAGTGAAAAAAGTGTATGCAAAGCACTCCCCCACTCCATTTTCTTTTAGTACTCTTCATATTTTCTTATAGTGTATCTTGGAACACATCAGTGTTGTTTTTATATGGGAATGTTAAGGCAGTGTAGAAATCTTCAATAAGTTAAGAAGTGGTGCCCATCTAATCTTTATAGGTTTGTAAATACAAATTTTTACAATTCAAGCTTGATTGCCTAATTTGGATAAGCAGTGTTGAGAAAAAGAAAACTAGTTCCAAAAGCTTGGATTTAATAAATAGTCCTCCTGCCAAGCAGATAGTAAGTCAGAATTGACATTTAGTTCATGAATTCTCATTAGCTTCTTAGCGAAGTTCTGGGGGAAGTTAGGTCCTCATATACTGTGACTTTTAATATTTTACACACGTATAAAATTATAAATACATAATTTTCACAGAATTGAACTGATGCTTCAAGAGATTGTTAACCAACTGTAAAAAGCAACAGAACCCTTCTTACCAAATTAATTCTTTTCATGCACACCATTAGCCTTAGCATAGTTGTCCTCATGAAGCAAAACAGTAGAAAATACTGTTAAAATGTATGTGAAGGAAACTTATCTTGGGTGCGAGGGGGAGATTAAAGCAGTGACCTGTTCTGTCGAGAGTACTTTTTCATGGGCTAAGATCTATATCCATTCTTACTTTTGCCTCCACCTGTTATCTTTGGACATCTATGTTTCATAGCTGTTGGAAATATTATATATGCATGTTTTATTTTAAATGAGTTCAGTGTAAAGTTGCTTTGGACCATTTGTGGCTATTCATTTTTGCTTTGACTAGATATATAGAGATATTTCCAAGCAGAAGGAATGAGGTTCGAACACACGTTGGTTCTCATAAGGGAAAGAAAATGGCATCTTCTCTTACTGCTAAGTATATAACTGAGCCAGAAATGGTCTTTGAAGAACACGAAGTAAATGAGGATATTCGGCCCATGACAGCTTTTGAAAGTGAGAAGGAAGTAGGTAAGGATGTGCCTCTTGTTGGGAATCCTTGGGTCTATCTTGTATGTTTTGATATTTATTAAAATATTTTTTTATGACCATATTGTATGAAATTATAAGGTTATAGGACAAAGGAATTGAGTTAAAGATTTAATATGTCTTTGAATGTAGTAGGGACTTTGAATATATGCAGAAGGACTTAATTATTTTGTAAGGTTTTTTTATTTAATCATTTTTGTAGGTTCTGTATCGCAAGATGGATGGCACAAATAGAATAAAAGGAAGTAAAATGTGAACATTTAAACTAAGGTGGGAAAAGATGTGGGTAGAGAGTAGGAAAGCTGACTAAAGTGAGGAGTTTTATTTACCTCTGTGTTTAAGTACTCCTTAGATTCCTAACCCCAAAGCAACATCTGGAATATTTGAAGTTTGAGAAATCCTTTTAAACTGGTGCCCTAGCATTTATTGTTACCATATTTGTTCGTTTTTTTTTTCTTTGAGTGCCAATAACCCAGAAAGTTTCTCTTGCCTTTATTTTTTTCATTCATAATCACTTTTCCTTCTCTCTGTTGTTACGGAAAGGTATGTTCTTTTGTAATCTGGTAGTAGTTTGAGGTACTAAATCCTTATGGGTGTTCGGGTGATATTTGTCAGGTAGCAGAAATTCCAGATCATTTGGCTTTTAAAATTAAAGCCCTTCTTCCTTACTGGTTCAAGAGGATTTGAGAATTTTGACATAAATGTTAGACCTAATTATAATCTGGAAATAACTCTTGAAGCTTTTATGTTCTTGACAGTGCTTTTTGTTCCACTTCTCAGAATTGCCTAAGGAGATGTCAGAAAAGCTTCCAGAGACTGCTGATTTTGGAACTGCATCTTCACTACATTTTGTCCACATGAGAGGATTGCCTTTCCAAGCCAATGCCCAAGACATTATAAACGTGTGTGGCAGTAAGATATCCAATCTCAATAGGTTTGAACAAAAGTTCTGAAATTGAACTTGTTAATTTGGGGAAGGCAGAGAGGAAAATACAGTATTTCTGGAGTATCTCTGGACAGTAAGATGGCATCTCCATGGTTGTGGAGGCTTATTTTATTCTCTTTAGCTGAAAAGTGTGGGGTTTATTACATTTTAAGGTCAAATGTGTAATGGATAAGAGGATTTTATAGATGCATAATGATATGGTGTAGGTTTAGCATTCAAAGTAGAAAGTTTGGTTTTTCTCTAAATTGGTTCAACCCATTCGTTTTTGGGTTTAGGAAACTGAAACTCAGAGAGAATTTGTCACAGAGCAGTTATAGACTAGACAGGAATCCAGTACTCCTGAATGCCCTGAGCTTTCATTAGACCATGTAGCCTGCTTGCATCAGGATTCCCTAATTATTTATTTTTTTTCCTGCTTTATCTCCCCAAACCCCCCCTGTACACAGTTGTGTATCTTAGTTGCATGTCCTTCTAGTTGTGGGATGTGGGACGCTGCCTCAACGTGGCCTGAGGAGTGGTGCCATGTCCGCGCCCAGGATCCGAACCCTGGGCCGCTGCAGCGGAGCGCGCAAACTTAACCACTCGGCCACGGAGCCGGCCCCAGGATTCGCTAATTTTTGAGAAAAGGAATTTTAAGAATATTTTGATTTTATAATAGGCACTGTATGAAATGAAAAGATAAAGCAACAAAGCCCTTATTGACTTCATGAACTTGAGGTTCATATATACTTAAGGTGGATCCAAACTCAGAGTCGTCAGTTAGTAGTGGGGCCTCAGAGTTGTCTTTATTATTTCAAAAAGCCTAATAGGAATCATATCTTTACCCAAATGAAGGTTGCACAGTCTCATTAAAGCATTACATTCTTTTGTTTTGGTTTGGAACGATAACCACTCAGTGTGGTAGTGCTTATAAGAAACTAATTATCAGGTACGTGTCTGATTAAAAAATGATAAAAATAAATTATTATGAAATGAAGTGTATTTGATGGACAGTCTTTAGAAACAGGGAGGGATGTGTGTGGGAGGAATAATAAAAGTGGTCCTTGTTGGTATAAAAAATAAAAGTTTGAGGGGCTGGCCCCGTGGCAGAGTGGTTAAGTTCGTGCACTCCGCTGCAGGCGGTCCGGTGTTTCGTTGGTTCGAATCCTGGGCGCAGACATGGCACTGCTCATCAAACCACGCTGAGACAGCGTCCCATATGCCACAACTAGAAGGACCTACAACGAAGAATATACAACTATGTACCGTGGGGGCTTTGGGGAGAAAAAGGAAAAAATAAAATCTTAAAAAAAATAAAAATAAAAGTTTGAGAACTATTTGTATAGTATTATATTTATAGTTTAAGTTCTCTGTGAATAGATATTTGAAATGTAACTCTGAGTTCTAAGAAAATCAGAAAAGCCAGAAAAGATGATAGATGTGTATCTATTTTTTTGCTTAAAGAGATTTCCTAAAAACAAATTTAGCAGATGTATGAATCAAAGTCTAAAAGAAAAATGCAGAGCTACCAGACTTCTAGAAATTGGGCCTCATACCATTCTGTTCCTTTTGGCTTCCTTTGTTCATTGTTTAGTTTTTTGCTCCACTGAAGCCTGTTAGAATCACCATGGAATACAGTTCCAGTGGGAAAGCCACTGGAGAAGCTGATGTGCACTTCGATACCCATGAGGATGCTGTTGCAGCCATGCTCAAGGATCGGTCGCATGTTCGTAAGTGCTGCCCATAGTTTTCATTGTTAATTTTGATGTCTGTCTTTGTTCACAAATGCCTTTCTCTCTTTTGGAGTTTGCCTGGAATTTTTCCGTGGGAAAATTGCACTGTGTTAATACTATTAAATTAAAAGTAAAAAGGACAAAGCACTATAATATAATGAAAACCGTTTATTTGCTACTTATCCTGAATATTTCTATCCAGAGTTAGGTAGGATTTTTTGTTTGTTTTTAATTAGGGAAGGGAATGGGCAAAGGATTTGAGGTTCTGTCTGAAGTACCAGAAAAATGGCTACAGTATTATTTCTGCCTTTTCATATTTTTAAAATGAATCTCTTTTTTTTGGGTCATTCCCAGACCATAGGTATATTGAATTGTTCCTGAATTCATGTCCAAAAGGAAAATAAGACTTCCAGGGACTCCAGATAATAAGGTAAATTTGAAAGATTTAATTGCAGAAATTATTTTCAATTGATAAATTAATCATTAACTCACTAATTTGTAATATAGTGGAATCCATTCTCTTTTAAATAAAGATCAAACTGATCATGATAATTGAAGCATCAGATTAAGAAATGAAGTTCTTCTGGGCAATAGAATTAGTTATGATTGTATAGTGCCTTTGAGTATTTTTCCCATATAAAATCTTGGCATCATTCCCAACATGCATCATGCTATGTGCCTAAAAATAATTTTTCACCTTTTGTAGTTATAAATCATAATATACTGAAAATGTGCCTTGCATTAGCTTTTCTTCCCATAAAGTTTAAGCACATTTCCTCAGTTCTAAGATATTAAGATGGTTAGAATAACACGTTTGAAACCAGGATGTATACACTGAATGTACCACTGTTTCTTTCCCTAAAATGGTGATATGAAAGTGGTTGTCCTAGGAAGTACATGATTTCATAGAGTTAACTTAACCTGTGACACATCTAAATATGTCTTGATGTCCCTTCCCTTGACTAAATGTCACGTGATGTCTTTTCCCCCCATAAAAATCTTAACGTATTGTAATCATTTTTCTACATGTGGTGCATTCCTTTGAGACACTTAACTATAATGATTTCTTGAAAACACCTGGGGTGTTTCTTTACCATAGTTTTCATAGGCTATTTTTTTTTTTAAAGATTTTATTTTTCCTTTTTCTCCCCAAAGCCCCCCGGTACATAGTTGTATATTCTTAGTTGTGGGTCCTCCTAGTTGTGGCATGTGGGATGCTGCCTCAGCGTGGCTTGATGACCGGTGCCATGTCCGCGCCCAGGATTCAAACAGGAGAAACCCTGGGCTGCCGCAGCGGAGCGCACGAACTTAACCACTCGGCCATGGGGCTAGCCCCATAGTCTATTTTTGGATGTGAAGTCTCACAATATTGTCATGTTAAATATTTATATTAGCTAAAATCTTATGTAAAATATATTGTGTGCTCAGTTCTGAAAATCTACTACCTTTATATCAGGGTGCAAACACTAATGCCTAACTGTTGAATTTTCTTCACCTTAACTTAATTGATCTGTCACATAACTTGTACTAAATCAGTAAGAAAAAGTGGTTGAATTTGTAATTTTAAATGGTATGAGAACATGTGCAGTACTTTTTCTTTTGAGTAAATGTGCAACATTTTTCGTTTTATTTTCAGGATGAAGCAAGAAGCATTTCATTTGCACATCTTTCTTGGACATGGGATATAAAGCTCCAGTTTTTTAGCAGCAGCTGCTAGAGAAAGGATTTTGGGGTTTGGGCTTAATTACTTATAAGAATAATTCCATAGTGGACTGTTTAGAAAGAGAAAGGAAAGGTTCAGTTTGGGATTATGAAATAAAACCACAAATTTAAATTTTTGTTTAAACTGTCTAGGGTCTGATTTACAAATCTGGTCTTTATTTTATATGATTAAACAGTTTGATTTCACAGAGGACATGTTACCCATTGTAAAGACTACATGTTTTTATTCAGTACTGTCCTTTAAAATCTTTCTCCCATTTTAAAAATGATCTGGTTGAGGTTTTGTTTTTTACCTATGAATTCAGAGCTCTGATGTAAAACTTCTCATGGAATAAAACATTGAGTTATTTTAACCAAATACTCACCAAAGCAAGGAAAGGTTTCAGACCTTTGAACCATTACGGTTTGGCAGAGTAGTTTTAATTTTAGGTCTATTTGATTACTTAGATAGGGGTAAGAATTAAAAATAAGTCAAAACAAAAAATAAACCCCACAGGGTAGTGAGTGTAAATGACAACAATTTGGCAGTTTTATGTCTTTAGGAATGTTTTGCCTTTCCAAGCCTTGTGCTAAAGGCATTAACATTGGTTCCTGTGTACTTAAGGAGGGAATTCTAGTCTCAACTTAAAAGTTATATGGACACCCCCTTTTTTTGTGGTTTTGGGTGACCCTTAAGGGTATTGGTTTGTTAGTCTCAAAACTGTGAATTGACATATCAGAACAGTCCCGACTGGTAAGGACATTAATGGCTTCACTTGAATTTAAACCAGCTCTAGATAGGAAAAAATTTAAGTCTCCTCATTTGCTTTTTCAGTGGGGTAGCACATCCCATATTTTAGAAGAAGTAGGGGGTGCCTTGCTTAAATAAAAATAGCATTTAATGTATAATTGTGTGAAGGGTTTATGGATAAAGCTGTATTAATGTCACATTGTGGCAGTACCTTCTGCTTTAATATTAAACAGCTTGTTATTTAAATATTGGATCAAAATGGCTGGCTTCAAAATGTAGTCATTAATAAACTAACTTTACGTGCACCTGTGTAGGAGAATCAGAATCCTGTATACTTTATTTGCCTTGTTCCTGTTCTCAGGTGATGACTGCCACGTAGTTACCAGGAGATGCAGTTCTGGTTCTTAAAATTGAATTAGCCCAGATTTCTGAGAGGTGATATCTGGAAGAGAGATGATGTCTTCTCTCACTTAATACATAACCATCTTTGATTACCAGCTCAGATACAAAATCACTGTACTGTAAGTAGTCAATAAATGAAGGCTTGTTTCAGGCTGAAGGTTACCTAAGAGTATTTATTTTGGAGTGTGTGAATCAACCAAATATATTTTTATTACATCAAGTCCTGGTATATAATTGTAAAAAGAAATGGTTAATTTTCAGTTGTGTTGGTTTTTATCATCCTATAAGAACATGACTTAGTCAACCAGCTTGACGTCTTCAGTATTTCTACTTTGATGGAAATGTGTTTTCACATATGGTTGAGTGTCCCAAGCTATGAGAACTAGTGTCTGTAGCTGTATGATCTATTAGAAGTGTGATTATTTCTCTCTAGCAGTAGTTATCTAATTTGCTGTGCAAAAAATCTGTAGAGTCTATTGGGATTGGGGTTGGTGAGGAATTAATTTATTTTCAATTACTTTATTTTAAAGCTAATGAGTTTCATTTGCACATCTCTGGGAAAAGAATGAAAGCAAAAGCATTAAAATGTTATGTGGTAGATAAGCTTGAAGGGGTGTACCTTTTGTTTTTCCCCTCCGCAAAGTCCCAGTATGTAGTTGTATATTCTAGTTGTAAGTCCTTCTGTGTGAGCTGCTGCCACACCATGGCTAGTGACAGATGATCTGTGTGGTTCTGCAACCAGGAACCGAACCCGGGCCACTGAAGCGGTGAGAGTGCTAAACTTTAACCATTAGGCTGTCAAGGCTGGCTCGGGGTGTATCTTCTTGTCACTAGTGACTGAATTCTCAGTACCAAAGGTGGCCATTCTTGGAAAGTCATCTTCAGAATTCATATACTTTCCTGTACTCCCTTTAGTAGATTATTGCTCATAATTTAGGCTAGTGAGTGAATGATTGCTCACAAGGCAAATGTAGTTACTGGAAGGGGAAGAAAAGCACATAATAGAATGAAAGTAATCTTTTATCACTATCCAATCAAAAGACATGTTTCTCTCTCCCAAAATTTGACGAAACTGGGTTGTGTATCATTATTTGCTATTGAAAGAAGTAATGACAGAATTTCATTCTTCTCTGTGTGCTTTGTGGTAAAGCTATCAGAAATAGTGGGATTGGATATGGCCAGGTTACCCATATCCTGCTTTGGCTAGCTACTTCTCAAGGAACTGCAAGGAAGAACTCTGATAAGTAGCATGTAGATACCAAGGGGGAAATGGCTAAGGATTGTGATCTCATCTGCTGTACTCTGATATCAGAGAAGGAAGCAGAACCAGAGTGTTTCCCCCTCTGCCTGGGTGCATGAGGCTTCTGCTGGGCAGGAAAGGAGACTGAGTCCGCTGTGGAGTGGAAGGCTTTACATTCTTCTCACTACGTGTGCAGTGTGTGGAGGAAGAAGCAGGAGAAAGCCACTTCCATCCACAGGACATTTTGAGGCAATGACCCTGCCTATTAGTTAATATGTCCTATGGGCATCCTCTGCCCCACACGGTCCCTTGGCAGATTCTCATTTGGAGATTTTTCTCTGCGTTACATCCTTTTCATTTTATAATTTAAAACATTGCATTGTTTTGACAGTTTCCCCTAAATTATGTGGAACTGTTCACGTTCAATTGGTAGGACCTGTATTATAGAGTAGAATCGTATATCTCAGCAGTAAAGTAGAGGCAGGCCTAAAGTTCAGGGGCTTTGCAAAAAAATTGCTCTAATGTAATAGGAATACATTTCCCCCCCTGAATTTGGCAGATTAGAGAATAATCTCTGAAGTTTGTAGGAAGGGAATAAAGCTGCTATAAACATCCATATGTAGGCTTTTGTGTGTACATAAGATTTCAACTCATTTGGGTAAATACCAAGTAACACGATTGCTGGATCATATGGTAAGACTATGTTTAGTTTTGTTAGAAGCCGCCAAACTGTCTTCCAAGGTGGCTGCACCAGTTTTCATTCCCTCCAGCAGTGAATGAGAACTCCGATAGCAACTCCTCCTTGGCAGCGTTTGGTGTGTCAGCGTTGTGAATTTTAGCTGTTCTCATAGGTGCGTGGTGGTATCTCATTTTACTTTGCAATCCCATAGTGACATAAGAGGTTGAGCATCTTTTTATATGTTTATTTGCACCTGCATATTGTCTTGGTGAGGTATGTGTTCAGCTCTTTTGCCCAGTTTTTTAGTTGGGTGGTTTTCTTATTGGGTTTTAGGAAGGGGATATAGGACAGTTTAGTTTGGTTCTTAAGCCTTGATGATATGAAAATAAATAGTAGGGTATTTTAAAAATGGTTTATATTTTATTTTTTGAAGGAAATAAAATTCAAGAGAGATGCAGGGGTATACAGTAAACAGTCTCCCTCCCATCCTGTATTTTAGCCACTAGTTCCGCTTCTCAGGCAACCCTGTCATCAGTTTCTAATGGAAATTTCTAGTGATATTTACTGTATAGATAAGCAAATATTAATAGACATTTTCATTTCTTTTCAAAATATAAATTACAGCATACCATACATACTCTTCTGTACCTTTTTCCCCACTTATTGCATCCTAAAGATCATTTTATATCAGTATATAAAACCCTTTTTCATTTTTTGGAATGATTGTAGAGTATATGAATATACATAATTTCATTCATCCTGTCCCTTACTGATGAACATGTAAATTGTTTCCATTCTTTCCCTATTATAATGCTGAAATGAATTACCTTGTATAATTTTATGCCATTTTGTACATACAGAAATTTTTATGTAGGGTAAATGGTCAGAGTATGTGCACTTGTAATTTATATCTAAAATTAAATTTATATATGTAAATGGCTTTTTCTTATTTGCTCCGGTAGTACAAGTGCCCATTTCCCCATAGCCTCACTAACACGGTATATTAGCATTCTATTCTTTGCCAATCTTATAGGTTAAGAAAACGCCATCACAATGGTATTCCTTTATGAGGTAGCACTTCTTCACATTTAAGAGCTTTTGGATTTTCTTTTCAGTGAATTGTCTTCATGTCCTCTCCCCAGTTTTCTTTTTTTCTTATAATCCGTATCTACTTAACCCTCATATTAATTTTAAAGCAAATCCAAGACATAGCATCATTTTATCTGTATAGATTTCAGTATACATCTTCTGTTAAAAAGGTATTTAAAAAAATACCATCACTCCTAAAAATACTAATTTCTTAGCACCAAAGATCTGTCTGAAAAGTCATTTAAAAAAAGTTTATATGAATCAGGATCTAAACAACATCAACACTTTGCAATTGGTTACTATGCCTCTTTTTGCCCTGCAACCTTTTTTTTTTTTTTTTTTTTTGGTGAGGAAGATTGGCTCTAAGCTAATCTCTGCTGCCAGTGTTCCTCTTTGCTTGAGGAAGACTGTCATTGAGCTAGGCTCTGTGCCAGTCTTCCTCTATTTTGTATGTGGGACGCTGCCACAGCATGGCCTCACGAGCCCTGTGTAGGTCCATACCTGAGATCCGAACCTGTGAATCCCAGGCTGCTAAAGTGAGCATGTGAACTTAACCACTATGCTACTGGGCTGGCCCTGCCCTGCAGAATTTTTTAATAAGAAACTTCAAGCATACAGAAAAGTTGAACTATAAACATGCCTATCTATACCTACCACCTAGATTCTACAAGTAACATTTTGCCATATTTTCTTTATCATGGATCTATGCATCCATCAGTCTCTCTCTTTTCTTTATGGGTGTCAAAGTTGTAGAACATCTATACTTGACTCTTAAGCCTTTTGGCATACATATTGTTGGAGTTTTTTTTCTTGAGGTAGAACTTAGAGTGAACAAACGTTAAGTGTACCATTTGATGAGTTCTGACGTGCAGCTATGTAACCCAAACCCCTAGCAAGCTATGGAACATTTCCATCACGTCCATCAGAAAGTTTTTTTAACCAGTCAATTCTTGCAGCTCTCCCATCCCTTTTCCCTGTTAGAATTGTGTTTTCACCAGATTAGTTTGGCCTATTCTAGAACTTTATATAAATGGAATCATACAGTATGTACTCTTGTGTAAATTTCCTTCATTCAGCACGTTTTGAGATTCATTGATGTGTTTCAGCTCTTTGTTCCTTTTCATTGCTGACTAGTATTCCATTGTGAATATGCCAGTTTGTTTAACCTTTCACTTGTTAGGCGAACAGCTCCTGGACGATGGGCTCTGCAGGTTTTGGCTGTCAGGAATAAAGTTGCTATGAACATCTTGTGCGAGCCTTTTTGTGGACCTGCATTGTCATTTCTTTTGGCTGAGTACTTAGTAGAAGACCCTGAGTTGTAAGGTTGATAGATTTTTAATTTTACTAGAAATCGATAGAACCTTTTTCCAGAGTGGTCACCCTGTTTTACACACCCTCGATATGAGAGTTCCTGCAGGTCTACATCCTCACCATTGGGTGGTGTCAGCCCGTAATTTTAGCCATTCTGTGTGTAGTGGTATCTCACTGTGGTTTTAATTTGCTTTCCCTGACAACTGATGTTGAGCATTTTTTCATAAGTTTATTGGCCATTCAAATATCTTCTTTAGTGAAGTTGAACTTCCTGTTTCTTATTTCTTTTAATCTATGTTTCCCCTTCCATTTTTTCCCCCTTGGTCTTTTTTTATTTGTTTTGGTGAGGAAGATTGGCCCTGAGCGAACATCTCTTGCCAATCTTCTCTATTTTGTATGTGGGATGCTGCCACAGCATGGCTTGATGAGCAGTTTGTAGGTCCCCACCCGGGATCCAAACCTGCAAACCCTGGGCTGCTCAAGGAGAGCATGTGAACCTAACCACTAGGCCACCAGGCTGGCCCCTCCCCTTCCATTTCTTTTTCCTTTCTTATTTGTTGAACCTGTACAGGTTTCCACAATCTGAATTTTGCTGATTGCCTTTCTGTGATGTTTGTTGATCACTTTCGTATTGGGTTTGGTCTTTTTCTTCACTAATTAGCAGGAGCCCTTTATTCTTGTAATGAGTTAGCTTTAAATACCATTCCCTCCAGTTTGTCACATTGTTTGCCTATCATGGCAGAAATTATTTTTATATGGCAGAATTCTTAGATCTCCCCTTTTATTGCTGTTAGATTTTCTGTCAGAATTAGGATATCCCAGTGGAATGATTTTGAAA